GTTTTCAGTTTAGGCGTTCATGCGTGTCTTATGTCGTTAAGGCCGTGCGAGAAGCCGTGCCGAGTCATGTCATGTTCTAAGTTGAATTCTCCGATCAACCCTCGTATGTTTAGCTATTTTATGTTATATCATGTTTAGATAAGCTTAAGTGTTCGGTGAATTATTCATGTTATTCGGTGTTTCGGCCAAAGGTGATGTGGTTGCGCACGTAGCGCACCACGGGCCGTACGCGAGTGTCAAGTATGTTAAGTTCTCTTTCCTCGAGCACTTTATGTGATTTTATTCAGTAAATCATTTATCATGTTCAGCTAAGTTTGATTTACCGAGAGAAAATGAGGTTCGGTCGTAAAACGGCTTAACGCCGTCGGCGTCGCACGGTGTTGATACGGAAGTGGGTTCCAGACCCCTACGACAAGAAGGGACAAGAGCCAAGACGAACCATGGAGGCTGAAAATAGGGGCAAAACGACACATGCATGGCCTAAGAGACGGGTACGAGCTCGTATGCGGGACACTCGAGCACATAAGAAGCGGCACGTACAAGGCAATAGACAAGGGCGCACACATGCACAATGGCGTAGACGTGCATGGCATTTGGAGATTAGGCGAAGTGGCGCGCAGGGGGAGGTTGTTGGGTGGATAGCGCGCGAGGGGGATTGCTATGGGCCAATGAACGCAGGTGCGAGCCAGCAGCGCGCATCGGGACTTGATGCGCGCAATTGGTCCAGTGATCGAGCAAGAGATACGCGGGCGATTGGTGCACAGGTCGAGGAACGCGAAGAGGAGCGCACGCGGGTAGCGCTGGGAGTACGAGGGTGCACGGCAGTCGAGTAGGCCGCGGGCATTAGCGGTACGCGCAAAGTAGTGGACGACAGGCGTGCGGGATGTGCTGGGCGCGCGGTTGGCAGGTACGCGAGGGGAGGCCCAGACCGAGAAGGAGTAGGAGTGCTGGGCGCGGGTATACACACGCAGGCGGGACGCGGCCGGGGTGAAGCTCACGCGACAGCGCGCGCGTGTGACGGGCACGCGCGAGATCTAGTCACGGAAGGACTAGGCGAGCATAGCGGTGACGTGCGCGACACGGCGCGCGTATGGACAGCAGGGGCAACGGGCGCA